CTACATTAAAATACCATTATTTTGTAGAGGTGCAAATGTATGTCAGGGAACTGACTGGCTGACATTGTGTTGTCTAATTGATTATATTGGTTGATTGATATATTGATTGACTGGTCTGCTGGTTTTTGCTGTCACTGACTGACAGTCTAAAATAACATTTGTTAGATCTGATGAATCAATGCTCTCAGTCAGTCAGGTTGTATCTGTTGTTGGTGCGTCTGGTTTTGAAGTAGGGGCAGCACAGAGAGGTGGATGTTTTTCTGGGGAACATGTAAACTCCTTGTGGCCTGGGAGCAAGCAACCACACTGACTACCACAATCAGTTTAAACTAATGATGCAAATAAATAGTGTCATTGATCATACCAGAGATATTGAGATGCCACACAACAATGAGCCAGACAACCTGTAATCCTGAACAAACCCATTCACTTTGATATTAAGAATCTGTATTCACCTCACCCTGTTTACCCTGTTCTTTTTTTGCAGCCAGTGACACTGCAGTCTCCACAGGATATTATAATTCCTGTGTGTACGGCAGTTTTGTGGGGCTGTATGCAAAGATTCATACAGCTTCATCGTCCGTGTATCATCAGTCAAACACCTTGATAATGAAAGAGTGAGGAGAGCCACGGTGTTTATAGATGTCAGTGAATGACAACTACCCAAATATGACCATGTGCTTCAATGCTAACACAATTTAGACACAATATCCATTTAATCATCACTATTAGGAAATGAATGGCCCCAGTTTAGCCTGTCCCTGTCAGATCACTGTGTTCCACTGATTCTCTCACAGTAATTGTTTCTCGCCCCAGGACTAAAGCCTCGCAGTGATGCTGCATTTGGTTCATACGCCCCCAGACTGACTATGGAGCAGCCTTCCCGTAGGCTCGACAAGTGCACCTCTTTCAACATTTCAATTATTATTATTACGATAGTAATAGTCGTGGTAGTAGTGACCCATTAGGATCACCTTAGTTTGGACAAAGCTAACACATTATCTGAAGGTTCTGTATCACTGCAGAGTTACTACCCTGGAGTGTGACAGAAAGCGTAATAAAAAATTAAAAATAAAAATTTCTATCTATCTATCTATCTATCTATCTATCTATCTATCTATCTATCTATCTACATTAAAATACCATTATTTTGTCGAGGTGCAATTGTATGTCATGGGACTGACTGGCTGGCAGGCTGCTTGGCTGTTACTGACTGACCAACTGACTGACTGGTGACTGACAGGCTAAAATGGCATGTCCTTGTAGCTACATTTCCATCCACAATAGTATAATGAAATATGAACACAGTATCAGAAGGTTCTGTATCACTGCAGAGTAACTGCCCTGATGTGTGACGGCAAGCATGATTAAAATCCTGTGATTTTGCAATTCAATTTTTTCAATTCAATTTTATTTGTATAGCGCCAATTCATAACAGAAGTTATCTCAGGACACTTTTCAAAATAGAGCAGGTCTAGACCGAA